GAAACTGACCATATATTTTAATAGTATTTAAGTGAAAGGGGTGTGCATATAACTAAAATTGAATAAAACTTTGAAAAATAAGAACATACGTATTAGAAGTGAAGATGAAGGGTAAAATCAGATAAAGAAATAATTAATAAAAAATATTAGTTATTGATTTTAATTATGATTGTAATATTATTAATGAATAATCATGTTCACTTTTACTTTAAGTCTTCTAAAAAGCAGCATCCTTTTGATTTGAATAATTATTTTAGATCTTATCCTTCATAATTTATAAAATCTCCTTTCAAAATTAAAGCCCCTTATGCTTGAAATAATGGTGTTTAAGATATTCTAATAATTGTAATATTGTTGGGTTCTATTAAATAATAATAAAATAAATACCTGGTATAGGATTATTTAAAAAAAGTGGTTCTTTAAATTAAGCAAGAATATCTTTATATTTTTTGTCAACGAATGAAATTTTTTACCCTGTCATTACTACCCATAGACAAATAGATTTATCTGCACTACTAGAAGCTAATGTACTTCCATCAGGAGAGAAACAGACTGAGTTGATACAATCATCATGAACATCTAATTAAGCTATTTATTATCCTGTTTTGACATCCCATAGACGGGTGGAGTTATCACTACTACCAGAAGCTAATATATTTCCATCAGGAGAGAAACAGACTGATTTGACTTGATATAAATGACCATCTAATTAGGCTTTTTATTATCCTGTTTTGACATTCCATAGACAGATAGACATATCATCACTACCAGATGCTAAAGTATTTCGATCACGAGAGAAACACACTGATCTAACAGTATCGCTATGACCAAATAATTAGGCTTTTTATTATCCTGTTTTGACATCCCATAGAGAGATTGACTTATCATCACTACCAGATGCTAATATATTTCCATCAGGAGAGAAACAGACAGAGTTAATACAATCATTATGGCCATCTAATTAGGTTTTTTATTATTATAATTTAACATCCCATAGACGAATAGACTAATCATTACTACCAGAAACTAATGTATTTCCATCAAGAGAAAAACAAATTGATTTAACATAACCAGAGTGACCATCTAAATTGGCTTTTTATTATTCTGTTTTGACATCCCATAGAGAGATTGACTTATCACTACTACCACAAGCTAATGTATTTCCATCAGGAGAGAAACACACTGAGTAGACAGTTCCACTATAACCATTAAATTTGGCTTTTTATTACCCTGTTTAGACATTCCATATACAGATAGAGTTATCGCCACCACAAGAAGCTAATGTATTTCCATGAGGAGAGAAAATGACTTAATCGACAGCCATAGTTTGACCTATTATTTTAGCTTATATTTTTCTTGTTGCTATATTCCATAGACAGATAGACATATCATCACTACCAGATGCTAATGTATTTCCATCAGGAGAGAAACAAACTGATTTGACTTTATATAAATGACCAAATAATTAGGCTTTTTATTATCCTGTTTTGACATCCCATAGACGGATAGATTTATCATCACTACCAGATGCTAATGTATTTCCATCAGGAGAGAAACAGACTGATTTGACTTGATATAAATGACCAAATAATTAGGCTTTTTATTATCCTGTTTTGACATCCCATAGACGGATAGACTTATCATCACTACCAGAAGCTAATTTATTTCCATCTGGAGAGAAGCAAACTGATAAAACATATCCAGTATGACCATTTAATTTATTTAATTCATGGATTCTTAAGTCTTTCCATTTACAATTAAATAATAATGCTCCATTCAAATTAATCCCATTTATGTTAACATTTTTTAATTCGGATCTACTTAAATTGCATCTAACAAAATTAGCTCCCACTAAAGAAGTATTTTAAATCTTTATTTTTTCAAAATTTTTTTTTTTAAGGTCTACTTTCATCTAAACTAATACATGTAATGAATTAGACCCACATTGTATCAAAGTTTCATCAATGGATGTGAGATGAACTAAAAATTAAAGAAATTTAATGATCCTTCTATTATTCTTGATTCTATTAATTAGACTTAATCTAGATTCTTCATTTTCTTCAGAGGAAAAATCTTTCTAATTGAACTCTTGATCTTTCAATTTTTTTAAAAACATCTGTAATTTATTTCATTTCATTTCCAATCATAGAAAATTTCTATTTTTTATCAGCTTGAATGATATTCTCTACTTGTTGTAAGATTTATGATTCGAAATATTTTTGATCTCCATTATCATAAAAGATATCCAATGCAATCTTAAACTTTTTAATTTCTTAATATTTCTAATAAGACCCCAAAGATTTGTTCATCTACATCTTTAATTTAAGCCAAGATGTCTGCTAGAGCTTGAGCCTTGCATTTTCTTTTTATTTTTAATATTGAATTTCTATTACTCTAACTTTAATTTATATACTGGAAAATCGATTAAAGTATCGAATTCATTAGAAATTCAGGTATTGTGTATGTGGGGTTGATGATATCTGATAAATATTCCATTTAGAAATCATTTCAATATTTGCATAGCTTGATTCTATAGAAGAATATAGAATTATAATATCTTCATTATTATATGAATATTTCAATTTATAAATAGATTGACATGATTTCAGTTAACAATTAAAATTTTCCTGTTAATTCTTAAAATACATTTAGAGGAGTGAAATCACGAGTAATGAGAGTTAAAGTCAAAAAATTAGACTTATTCCAGCTGAGGTTATAAAGAAGAGAGAAAGTAGATGAGGAGGAGTAATTTAAAGGAGAAGATGAAGGAGGAGAAAAATGAGGGATTAAAATTATCTGAGAATATAAAAATTATATTCATTAAGAAGATTGAAGTTGTAATTAAGAAATAATAATTTATGGAAATACTAGTAATATAAAACTCATGTTTATAAAATTATATTTCTATTAATAAAGGATTAAAAAATAGTTATAAACCTTAATTATTAAAATTATTGAAAAATTAATCATTGTTAATTGATGAATTACAGTTTTGAATATTTACCCCAAAAATTCATAATACTATATATCATTGATTCACCTTCATTTATGGATATGAATAGCTATTAAAAATTTTTCATACCTTTTTTCAATCTTCAAATTAGTCAATTTTAAATCTAGGGTAATTTTTTTATTTAACTGGTTGATGAGTTCTTCTAAAGAATACAGTTTTTTATAGCTATGAATTGATGAGGGGTACTTTTTTAAAAAACTAATATTTATTAATTTCGTGAAAATCATCTTGAAGTTAACAGTGATGATATAGTTCTACATTGAGTAATAACTGTTTATTATTTGATGTATGTAAAATTTCACTTTGAGCTCAAGTTAATCAATAATTAAGATTCATATATAATACGGTTGGAAAAGATATAATAATCTCCTTATATCTTAATAATATACCAAAATATATTACTTTTTCAATATGTTTTCAAAGTTTTTTTAATATCTTAGAGTAGTGTTAAAATTAATCAATATGATATTGTTTTAACTTCGTTATATTGTTTAGATTATATTCTAAGATTAACTTTATTTTTTAATTCTAGTCATATCTTTTTTATTATTATCTTTGTTATTAAATATAACTTTTACTATTTATAAACTAATTGTACAAAGTTATTAATTATATCTTTATAAGTAATAAATTAATTAAATTAAAAGAATATCTTATGAAATAATCATGCAGTTTTTTGTTAAGTTTGGTTTCAATTAAGCAATTAAAATCAATCTTTATTTTAATCACTTCAAATCTGTGCATACTGTTCTCTGTTTGGATGATTAATTTAATGTAATAACATTTAACATTAAATCTCTATAACAGTTTTTTTTAAGGAGATCTCAATAAATATACCCTACATTTCCTTAAAATGAAATACTTTTGAAAAGCATGTAATTATCTATCTTAAAAAATGAAGATAATGAAGAAAACAAAAAAAGATTAAACCAAAAAAAATAAGAATGAGTATTTAAATAATAATTGTAATTGTTGTTAACGAAAAATAATTATCACTTTTACTTAAAGTCTTCTAAAATGCAACTTCCTAAGGATTTGAATAATGATCTTAGATCGTATCCCTCATTATTGATAAATTCTCCTTTCAAGATTAATGCTCCTTGTGCTTGGAATAGTGATGTTTAAGATATTCTTAGAATTGTAATATTGTTGGATTCTAAAAAGTAATAAATAATGAAATACCTGGCAGAGGATTATTTGAAAATAGTGGTGCTTTGAATTTAGCAAGAATATCTTTATATTTTTTATCAACAGATTAAATTTCTTTTCCATTTTACACATCCCATAGACGGATAGA